CATTCGGTTCATATGAAGATTGCTTGCTTGTACCTTTTGCAGCAAAGCTTGGACATCAATCCCGGCACTGACGAGTGCATAACATAACGAAAATGAGATTATGGAGAGAGCGATGGAGGTGGCCAAGTATGCCCCTCCATACTTCGCTAGCAGTTGCTTGGCATCATCTCCCTTGGACTTCTTTTCCACACCTTCCTTTCCTTCCTCTTTTGAACTGAATATCTGCATTTTTCCATAACAAAACTTTGTGACTGCATATAGATATAGCTTACTATTTACCACTTATTTACTCAAACTCATACACTGCTCTCAGCTATTAGCTCAAAACGAACTAGACCTTTTTTCCCTTAATTAATTCATAATATTTTCTTTCACTTTTGAATTCATACTCTTTTTTTTTCTTTTTTCTTTTTCTGAATTGAATTTACTTGATATTTATCTTTCTAATAAGTATGAAAGAAACCAAATTGGCAGGAGTTTACCACAAGAACAAATAAAATAAAGAGAGAGAGAGAGAGATGTGTACCTTCCAGAGACCAGCCTCGAGGCCATACTTCTTAGTAATCTCCTCAGCTGAATCAGCAGATGATGGGTTTTTGATTTCCTCCTCTGTTTTCTCTTTCAGGGCTCTGACTCTGAAACGTTTGGAGTAAGAGCTGGCCTTGGATGGCTGAATTGATGCACAGCAGCGATTTCTTGATTGTCCATTGTTGTTGAAGAAGGAAGCAGAGTTAAGACAGGGGACTAGCACAGCTGTTGCCATTGTTTGCCAACCAAAACTTTCTATCTAATTCTAATCAAACATGCTTTAATTTAATGGGTTGTGTTCTGAGAAGAAATGTCTTGGAATTTAATCCCTTTGAAATTGAATTGAACCACGCAAGAAGCAGAAGAAGATGCACAAGCAGCTTTACTACATGAGGCTATAAGACAGTCCAAGTCGCTCTATTTTTTTTTATCACTTTACAATTTCATCAATGTAAAATTTTTGCCCTTTGTGTGTGTAGTGGGCTTGAGATTGTCGGTTTTCTTTTTATTTTGGTTGGAGATTGTCGGTTTGCTTGACAGACACAAACCCAAAAAGAAAGATATTGGGCCTCTTTTTCAAGAGCCCAAATGACCTCTCTCCCTCCCACCACATATTGTGTGCTCTTTTGTTTCGAAAAAACCAAACCCACCAAATTTTTTTGGTTGGATAAACCGAAACTAAAATTACCAAAAAAATTTGTTGTTTGGTTTTGAGAAGTATATACATTT